CTAGGTGATCTTGGATCTGCCTCTCTCTCTTACCTTGTTGTTGTTGTTAGTCGCAAAGTCATGTCCAACCCATCGCGACCCCATGGACAACATTCCTCCAGGACCTCCTGTCTTCACCATCCCCCGGAGTCCACTCAAGCTCACACCAACTGCTTCAGTGACTCCATCTAGCCACCTCATCCTTTGCCATCTCCTTCTTCTTTTGCCATCGATTGTTCCCAGCATTAGGCTCTTCTCCAGGGAGTCCTTCCTTCTCATTAGGTGGCCAAAGTATTTGAGTTTCATCTTCAGGATCTGGCCTTCTAAAGAGCAGTCAGGGTTGATCTCCTCTAGGACTGACTGGTTTGACTATCTTGCGGTCCAAGGGACTCGCAGGAGTCTCCTCCAGCACCACAATTCAAAGGCCTCAATCCGTCGATGCTCAGCCTTCCTTATGGTCCAACTTTCACAGCCATACATTGCAACTGGGAAAACCATAGCCTTGACTATATGCACTTTTGTTGGCAGGATGATGTCTCTGCTTTTTAGTATGCTATCTAGATTTGCCATAGCTTTCCTCCCCAGGAGCAAGCGTCTTTTAATTTCTTGGCTGCAGTCTGAAGTGATCTTGGAGCCCAGGAAAATAAAATCTGTCACTACCTCCATTTCTTCCCCATCTATTTGCCAGGAAGTTAGAAGACCGGATGCCATGATCTTAGTTTTCTTAATGTTGAGTTTCAATGTTGAGTTTTTGCACTCTCCTCCTTCACCCGCATCAAGAGACTCTTTAGTTCCTCTTCACTTTCTGCCATGAGAGTGGTATCATCTGCATACCAGAGGTTGTTGATATTTCTCCCAGCAATCTTAATTTCAACTGGTGATTCATCTAGCACCACCTTTCTCAAGATGTGCTCTGCATATAAGTTAAATGGGCAGGGCGACAGTATACAGCCTTGCTGAACTCCTTTCTCAATTTTGAACCAATCAGTGGTTCTGTGCCCAGTTCTCCCTGTTGCTTCTTGACCCGCATTATAGGTTTCTCAAGAGACAAATACGATGGTCTGGTACTCCCATCTCCAAGAACTTGCCACAATTTGTTGTGATCCACACAATCAAAGGCTTTAGCGTAGTCAATGAAGCAGAAGTAGATGTTTTTCTGGAGCGCCCTAGTTTTCTCCATGATCCAGCATATGCAAACCTCCATCCATAGTTCTTCAGGCACTCTGTCTGTGAGATCTAATTCCTTAAATCTATTTGTCACCTCTACTGTATATTCATCAGGGATATGATTTAGGTCATACTTGAGTGGCCTAGTGCTTTTCCCTACTTTCTTCAATTTAAGCCTAAATATTGCAACCAGAAGCTCATGATCTGAGCCACAGTCAGCTCCTGGTCTAGTTTTTACTGACTGTATAGAGCTTCTCCATCTTTGGCTGCAGAGCACATAGTCAATCTGATTTCTGTGTTGACCGTCTGGTGATGTCCATATTGTCTCTTGGGTTGTTGGAAAAGAGTGTTTGCTATGACCATCTTATTCTTTTGACAAAATTCTGCCAGCCTGTGCCCTGCTTCATTTTGTACTCCAAGGCCAAACTTGCCTGTTATTCCGGTTATCTTTTGGCTTCCTACTTTAGCATTCCAATCCCCCATGATGATGAGGACATCACTTTTTGGTGTTAATTCTAGAAGGTGTTGTAGGCCTTCATTGAACTGGTCAACTTCAGCCTCTTCAGCACCAGTGGTTGGGGCATTGATTTGGACTATTGTGATGTTGAATGGTTTGCCTTGGATTCGAACTGAGATCATTCTGTCATTTTGGAGATTGTGTCCCAGTATTGCTTTTCCTATCTTTTATTGACTATGAAGGCTACGCCATTTCTTCTGTGGGATTCTTGCCCGCAGTAGTATACCTGATGGTCATCTGAATTAAATTCACCCATTCCTGTCCATTTTAGTTCACTGATTCCTAAGATGTCAATGTTCAGTATTGTCATCTCTTGTTTGACCACATCCAGCTTGCCTTGATTCATGGATCTTACATTCCAGGTTCCTATGGAGTATAGATCTTTGCAGCATCAGACTCTCCTTTCACCACCAGATACATCTGCAACTGAGTGTCCTTTCAGGTTTGACCCAGTTGCTTCATTCTTTCTGGCGCTACTAGTATTAGCCCTCAGCTCTTTCCCCAGTAGCATATTGGACACCTTCTGACCTGAGGGGCTCATGTTTTTGCCTTTTGGTACTGTCCATGGGGTTTTCATGGCAAAGATACTGGAGTGGGTTGCCATTTCCTTCTCCAGTGGATCGTGTTTTGTCAGAGCTCTCTGCTATGACCTGTCCGTCTAAGGCGGCCCTGCACGGCATAGCTCATAGCTTCATTGAGCTACACAAGTCCCTTTGCCATGACAAGGCAGTGATCCATGAAGGAGTCTCTTACCTTAACTTACATCAAAGAGTTATTATGCAAATAAAATGGTAAAAGTCGTAAACCCTCACCCTAACCCTGAGCTCCTTGGAAGATGAGTGGGAATCAAGTATGAGCAATAAAATGTAAAACTTTCTTTTTAAATGTGCTTGACTCAGATACCAGCTTGCCTTCATCTTGATGACGATTTCATTTTACCTTCAACAGTTTCCCCTCCACACACACACACATGATTTGATTTTTTCCTTACCCCTATAAATTGTACTGATGGAGATGGGAAAAACTCACTCCACTGAGGTTTGTTGTTTTTTAAATGTATTTAACTAATTTGTACCTCCCAGAATGAAATGTGTACCTGAATGTAGTGTGTGTTTGGAAAGACCTTCATCTCTTGTAGTGTTTTGTTCTACAAAACAAGAGAAAAATATACTCGGCACTATGTAAACATTTGAAAAATGCACTGAGAAAGATGCATACATTTCTGGAATGGACACACACATTACTCAAGGGCTGCACAAATCCAAAAGATGGATACACAGTGTGCATGTTATTAATTTTTTTTTGTAAATCACATGTTTGTATGGAAATGGAACTTACAGATCCATTAATCATTTCTTATCTCTGCAGACTGTCCACAAATCTATAGCAGGCTGTTTACATACCATCATACCCAATGATCTCATTGACATGGCTTCAGAGATGTTTATGGCACAATTCTGTGTAGGTTTAGACAGAAAAAAGCCCCACGATTCCCAGTATTCTCCAGCTCTTAGTCTATGTAGACACCAAATCTAGCAAGTTATGAGCCTGCATCACAGCCTGTTAAGGTGTCAGAGGTGAAGTTTATGCTCAGGTTGTGCTTTTGTTCCATCACAGCTTCTGTTTTGTTGCTGCAAACAGTCAGTCACATTTAGGAGAACTGGCTATGAGAATGTACAACTGTAACTGTCCATGGTACCCACACTTCTATTTCTTATCTTCCATAGGAGTGTTATGTTGGTTTGAAGGTTTTATAGTCTTCTGAGTTGGGACTGGAAAAAGTCAGTGCTGCAGGGATGGGTAACATATTGACTGCCTGGACTCTGCCCTCTGTGGCACTCCCCGCCGTGCCAAAACAGCCAGTAAGAAACAGCATAGGAGCACAGCAAAGGGAAAGGGGGTGCACCTTGCCTTGAAACAAAATGTGCAGGGACCACCCACATCTCTCTAATGCAAACATGCACCTCCCTTTGGGTTCGCCGCTCACCTTGTTGAAAGCAAAAATGAGTTATTCTTCTGAATGCTGAATTCAGCAGTAATGTAATGGTGGTAGTTGATGTAGCAGCAGGGGTGTATGCAGCCCCTTGTGAATTGGGGGCTGGCCCACTGACCCTCTGAAGTTTCCCATCTCTGCAATATTGGCTTCTACTAGTGAAGGCAACGGTGCTGCCATAGACAGGTATATGTTGTCTCAAGGAAGCAGAATCTTACAGGGAAGTGAGGCATGCTTTGCTGATATCTAGAGAGGCTGGCCAAATGAGGTCTCTTGATAAGAAATAATTGACTTTTGCTGTCTGCATTTTAATTGACATGGTCTTATTACTGCAAGCAAACAGACTGGAAGAGAACAACTCCTCCATTGGAAATCACATCTCATACCCTGTGAGATGTTAATTGAGAGCGAATGGCTTATCTGAGCCCATAGAGTGTAAGCTGAATGATATTTTACACTGCACTGTCCATGTAACACCCGTTGTGGAGCAGCTTCACAGGAGTGGTCTTTGTGGTCAAGAAAGAGTGTGGGAAGCCACTCAGCTCCCTGGGGAAAAGGTGGGATGCATCTGAAGTCAATTATAATAAAAACTGTTATTCTCTGCACTGAGTGCTATGCTCAAGTTCTGAGGCCTTCCTCCAATTGTCACCTTCAAGAGAGAAGAAGAGAGCCTTCTCTATGGTCCCTCCACAGAGACCTGCTTGTTGCCAAATCTGTCTTCTTTCTAGTGCTGAATTAAGACTGCTGCCTATGCCAAGGCATTTAATTGCTTTTAATGACATGTGTGGCGGGGGTTACAGGAACGCTTATGTATACAATGGTCTAGTTATTGAATGTGTTTAATGCTTCAAATGGTTTTTAAATGCTGATTTTAATAATTGTATTAAATTTTCTTTCTTGTTTCTGGCTTTTTAAAATGAGGTGTTCAGAGCCACCCAGACAGCTTTGGACTTTGGACGGTGAATGACTGATATAGATAATGAAAAGATTCAGGGTTTTTTTAATGATTTGGCCAGCAAAGAAGAAAGAGAACCACATTCTTATGCATGTTTAGATGGAAAAGGGTCCAGCATTCTGCAGCCAGCAAAGTCCTTTAAACATGCATGTTAGTTAATACCCATAATTTAATATTGGAAGGCCAATATTTCTTTGGGGTTGGTGGCATTGGTGCAGATGTTTGATCAGCTGGCTAATTAGATTAAAAACCTCTACTGTGTAAAACTGCTTACTAGATTTTAGAATTGTCTGTTTCTAATTAATGTTGCAATAAAGGTAATTATAGGAATTATGAATTACAGATCATTTTGTTTAGCTCATCACTTTTTATTCTTTTGTTCCTTACAGAGTATATGGGTCAGCACCTATGTGTTTACAATTTGCTTTGCTGCTAATGTGGGACTGCTGTATGGTGTTGTCTGCACAATTGTTATTGTGGTTTTCCGCTTTCCAAGGTGAGACATTTCTGTAGGGATTCTTGGAGGCAAATAATATTTTTATCCGTCTTTTTGGAAATACACAGTTATTTTCTATTATTGGCAAATATACTTTACATCCCTAAATTTATTGAGAAATATAGCTATCTACCTTCCAAGGATCCTGGGAGGTGTAGTTTGTTGAAGCTGCTGATAATTTTCTATTAGATTCCATAGTCCACATCATAGAAAAATGGGTGGTTCTGATGACTTTCCCGTAGGGCATGACAAGAAATCCACCTAGCCACTTTCCTTTATATGTTTAGACAGAAAAAATATCCCACGATGCTGGGAGCTATAGGATTTATTTCTGTCTAAACATGCATAAGCTTGTACCCTTAAGGAATAAACTTATTTATTTGTTTATTTATTTCAAGCTTTATAGACCATCTCAATAGCACATGGCTCTGGACTGTTTATAGCAATTAAAATAAGCAGTTTAAGGATTGAGGAAAAGAAGGGATTGCCAACCTCGAATTATTGCGGGATCTAGGAAGGTCAATTGTGGAATGATTGTATGTCTGCTTCATCCTTGGTTTTAATCCAGAGTCATTCTTAGAGCGTACTTGTTGAAATAGTGGGCCACATTCACACCAGGTGGGATGTCAGTGATCATATGCCTCTCTCACTACTGAGGATTATTCAGGAAGTTCAGGGTACCAGAGTAAAAGAAGGTGCAGGGCTACTCACCACTTGTGAGGAGGCTTGTAAAGCTGAAGAAACTGGCTATTTCAGTGTGTGTTAAAAAGTACGGGGGCTCGACATACCCTACAGTGCAATCTGATGTATGTTTCCTTAGAAGATAGTCCCACTCCATGGGTTCAGACACCATAATAACTCACAGTGAAAAGCTGAGTATGGGTTATGTGTGAGTCATCATTGAACCATGGGTTGTTGCTGAAAGTTGGGTTATTGTGTTTGAACCCAGTCAAAATAACAAACCATGGTGAACAATCAACAGATTGTCAAACCCAGCAACAAACCATGGGCTTTCTTCAGGGGTTATTTGTGGTTAGCAGTCCATAGCTTGTTAGTGCAGCTGAGCTCAGACAACATGGTAATGCACATTTCAACTAGGATCCACACTCAACTCATACTCAATCCTTCACTGTAACTTACGCTTATCATGTTGTTTGAACCCAGTCACCAAGTTCAGTGAGACTTATTCTTTAATACATTTAGGACAGACATGGGCCACATGTAGCCCACAGGATGCAAATGACTCCCTGACTCTTTCTGTGGTCCCCACTGTCTATCTTGCCAAATTTGCTATAAGCAGCAAAAAAGCAGAATCAGACAACCAGAAGCTTCCTGGAAATGTTCTTTTGCTTCTGAACAAGTCAACAACTTCCCACACACTTTGTTTTCAACTAAATTGCAACTTCTTTGTTACTGCTGCACCACCTGTGATGAGGGGCCGGCTGGCAGCCTGCAGTGAGACCTGAGGGGCAATGTACCCCCTGCCCTGTATGACCCAACCTTGGCTTCCAGTGACACCCTTATGGCCAAACTAGATGAGAAGTAGAGCACTTGAACTGAACCTGCATTGCATATACAAAGAACACATCTCTACATTGCTTCTGAGACTGCAATCCCATAGCATATGCACAGGCTATCTTTAGTCCATGCTGGTTGCTTAGCCCATCAACATGGTTGAGAAGGATGGAGGACAGCTGTGCAGTTTTCACAACTAGCTTTCCACTTTTGGAGTTGCTGAGGATATCCTAGGAAGAACCACCTGCCTTTTTAGTTACCCATCTGTGCTGTTGTACTCTATAGCAGCAGCTTGACCAAATTTCAGCTGAATGAGCCCAGGTGCCTTGTACATGTAAAGTCAGCCAGAGAATGCTTACTTCTCATGATAAGCAAGCATCTCACTTCTATGGAGAGCATGAATCCATTTCTAACAGTATAATATTCATTTTAACAGTTTTAAAATTTGCAGTAAGTCACATGAAGCATTTGCAGTGCTGGAATAGCCAGATCCCACAAGGAAATGCTTAATTTTTAAAAGATTGCTCAGGCAGCTCCATTCAGGATGTAGACCATTATATTTTCTGTTTTCACCTATCTGTTACAGAGCAATGACACTGAGCCTGAAACATATGAAAGAAGTGGAATGCAGATTCAAAACAGAAGCAGATTCTGTAAGCTTGATCTTCTCATTCCTCCTTCTATATAGAAGAAGGTCCATTGGAGGTTGGGAATGAGTGGCTTTTAGGCATGTGTTCTTTATGGAGAAATGTCTATTTTAACTCTTTTCCCCAGTGTGTGTGCAGCTTGCCTGTACTCAGAGAGCTGTAGAGTGCAAGAGAGATTGCATTGTTCCTTTCCTATATAACACACTAAGAACCATGCCTGGTAGTGTTGGGCATTCATATAGGTTGCTTGGCATTTGGGACACAACTGTGCATATACTTTAGGTGCATCTAAATGTCTGGGAGAATCTAGATTTGCAGTCCAGATATTGCCAGCTGAACCATCCTTGCCCCATGATGATTCTACTTGTCGTGGAGTCAGAAATGTTACTTTCAAAACTATTCTTTTTTGATTCCAAAGGAATCTTTACAACAGGTGAAAATAGTGTCAGTGAATAACCCACTAGTCTTTCTGAATGCAAAGAAGTTTCACATGGATATATTAAAAATAATACAGAAGGAGAACATGTGTGCACAGCAGCAACCAGAAGATGTGAACAAGGTAAGCAGTGCTTAGCCATGGAGAGGTAATTGTTTGCTTTCCTGTGTAAATTTTTGTGCTGGATTTTGCAGCACTCATATTGTAAATGATTGGAAGGAAGATCATTCAAATGCTAACCAGAATCCTGAAATATAATGTACTTCTAGATCCTATACTGATATTGCTGAATAATATATCACCTCCTAGAAAGACAGAACACACAGAGTTTGATTTGTATAGATTAACAGCTGCAGGGATGTTTGTCCCTAAATAGGAAGTTCTAGTACACCCTTACTAGAAAGAGTGGTTTAAAATGCAATCCTATGCATGTTTAGATAGAAGAAAGGCCTACAATTCCCTCCAGCCATCATGGCTGACAGGGACATGTTAGGAACGGTCAACCTTTTTTCCTGCCCAAATATAAGCAGAATTGCTCCGTTAACAAAGTATGGGATTTTGCCATAAGGGCAAAACTGAGATCTTATTAAGAGAAAAAGTATTGGGCACATATAGGAACAAATTCTGGGAATGCCAAAAGGTGGTTTAGCATTACATGTGCATCATCCAGAATTTTGTTTTTTGTCCTAGAAAGTAACAGAATTTTCTGCTCAGCGTTAACATGACTGTGTTACTGCAGGTAGACAGTACATTGTTAATGGCTATGAGTGCTGAGGGGTCCATGCTACCTCTGGTATCAGGCAGCATGGCCTATGTTAGACCAGTTGCTGGGGGATATGGGCAGTTGCTCTACTGTACTGCTTGTGGGTTTCCCCTGGGTGGCTGATTAGCCACTATGTGTACAGAACGCTGGATTTGATGGACCCTTGGTCTGATCCAGCAGAGCTCTTCTTATGGTTTGGGTTAGCATTATCTAAAATTCTGTGACTGGGACAAGGTAATTGTATGCCAAAAGCTTCATCTGGAATCACCCATGGCCAGTGATGTGATTTACTGGCAAGAAGCACCAGTGGCTTGCTGCAGGGTAATCAAAGGGAAGATGAAAAGTCTCCTCTTACCTGAAATTTTGAAAGGTTATTGTGAAGGCTGGGGTGTCTCAGTACTGTCCGAAGCAGCAGAGTCAACACCAGGATACTGTGCAAGGCTGATTCCTTGAGAGAAGAAAGAGCATTCAGAATATCAGCACTGGCTGCTGAGAATCATCTACTGCTACCAGACATTTGGATGCAGGAGGCAAAAACCCGTCATTAGTTGAAACGGTCAAGAAGTGGTAGGGTGGCAGAGGAAGATGGTGTCACAGCACTGTGCAGATGAATGGTGGATTACTAATAGCTCCCACTGGTGTCCAGAGGAAGCCACCACACACTTGCACAGTGCAAATAATCTGCCTCTATCACCACATTCATTTTCTGACTGTTTCTGCTAGAGATGGGTTTCCCTTCTCACTCCCACTTGCCCTTCAACAATGGGTGGGTCTCACTGGATGTTATAGAAATATCATTCATCTCCAGCGTGCTTTCCTCTTGCTGAGCCCTAAAGTTGCCCTGGAACCTCCCACAGCTCACTGAATTGGGAACACAACATGTTATTTATTTCTCCTTGCTTAGCAAATTGCATGATTTGGCAAAATACAGGCCAGATTCCTTTGCTACAGTGGCAGACGTCTTTTGTTGATTTTGGTTATATATGGCTGAGAAAATAAAAGTCTTGTTTTTTCAGAACAGCAGATCATCCATCATTTGAAGCAAAGTCCTTGATTATATGAATGTTCAGTTTCTTTGGAAATCAATGTTTGAGGCTATGGAGTTGGTCCAGTTTAGGTTCCTAGCAATATGGTTTTGAGAAGGCCTAAGAAAACAGTAACCTGTTTGGAGCCAGGAATGCAGAAACCAGTGATAGAATCCAGGACACAGTTTGTGCCAATAAATTAAGCCAAGTAGATCTGGTGCTCAACACACACCTTCCTGCTGAAGCGTAACACAAATATAAAATGAGTTGTGCACAATCAGTGAAACATTCTATAGGCATGTTGTGTATTAGTGAGAGGAGAGCAATTCTATGAACTCAGAAGGGTTCAATCAAATTCATGGGGAATGCATCTTATCAACAGTTATGAGCCATCACACCTCAACAGGCCCTCCGTATTTGGAAGCAGTCTATATGCCCCTTGCTTGGGAGGCAGCTGTTCATCAAATTCAGAGGAGCCACACTTACTAGCACCAGCACATCAGTCAAGATGGACTTAGTCCCTTAACCTACAGAGGCAAAGTTTTTGGAAGATAAGGCTATCTGTGGCCACTAGTTGTGATGGTTATCTGTTCTCTGCAGTATCCCTAGGAGCATTGTATACCAGTTACTAGCAAACACCATTGAGAGAGTGCTTTTGCCCTTGATTCTTGCTTTAGGTGTCCCATGAACATCTGGCAGGCTATTGTAGGAAAAGAATGCTGGACTAGGTAGGTCTTTGGTCTGATTCAGCATGGCCCTTCTTATATATGCATGACAAAAGCTGGTTAAAGCTTGTGTGCACGCACATTTAACCTAGATAATTTGGAATATTCTACTGCTGCACTCACACTAGACAGGACAAATCACACTGTATTCAGCTAAGAGAATGGAGGCAAAAATAAGCCCATCAATCCAGGTATGTGAATGTTTACCCTCACCAGAACTTTATTGCTTTTCTGTGACTGGAGGACGGTGGACTGCTTTGGATGCAATGCTTTAACTATGCTTCACAGTGTACAATCAAGACTTGAATGTCCCTTGAGCTAGTATACTCTCATCTCCTTCCCTTCATGTGATTTTCTCCCACCCTGAATGGAGGCAAACCATAGTTTGCTGCTTCTTCTGAACCCAGAACCTAAGATGTATAATTGCCATGCAAACCAGGTGTGAAAACCAGGATCAAAACAGAAACCAGGATCTGGCCTATAGAGCAAATGTAAGCAATATTTTGCTTCAAAGGAGGAAGAGAGTCAGGGGATCATAGCCTATGAGAGGAAGCTAGGAGGTGAATGCCCAACAATTTGTGAAGGCTCGTTTGCACAATACCAAACAGTGGTTTAGTCATATTATATGTGAATCATTCAGAAATTCTTTTGTCCTGGAGAATTTTCTGCTTAGCATTAAAATGACTATGTCACTGTTGATAGACAAATCAGATGGATGAAGTTAGCTTTTGTTTTTGCTTTAAGATTGCTACTAACAAGTAGTCACAAATGAGGAAGAAATGCAAGGCTTTCACATCGGTACTATTCATCAGGGTGCACTGTACTCCTGTATCAGAGCACAATAGCAATTTTTGCAGAAGGAAAATAACAGATTTTATCAGCTTGTTTTCCTGTTTATTTCAGTGTGAACAGAACACATTACTCAATTCATTATCCAATGGAAACTGTCATGGTGAGTTTACTATTTAAGACATATTTCATATTTAGGGAACAGCATCAGCTTGTTAAAGCTTGCTGAAGAACCAAACCCACGTATCTTTCCTTTGGTGGGGTAGTGGATGAAAGGACACTGGGGGTGAGCCCTGGTCATGAATGCTAGAGTTAGGGGATGGATCCTGGCCTTTATTTCACTCAAAGGCACATGCATCTTCAAATGATGGAGCCAAGGCATTATGTGGAGCCGATTTTTCATGTAGTATTCTCAACAGTAATGCAAAGCAGCCTTGTACTTAAGGAGCCACCTGGTAGCCACAGGGGGACAGCAGTTGGCAGGGAAGGGACAGAGTGCTTGTTTCTTCTCCAGCAGCCAACACAGACACTAAATTGGCTATGAGAGGAAGGAGTCCCACTCTTGCGGCACTGAAGTGTAGAAGGTATAAAGTTGTTTGTCCCTTCCTTGCCAAGACTTGCATGGATGCCGCTTCTTTGGAAGGACTTGCAGTGCAAACGACCACACCACTGCTCGCTGCAACTCCTGCTCCAGTGTACAGTATATGAGAAATGTGCAGAGCAACCTCCTTTTGCTACCATGGAGAAGGGAGCCATTTGGCTCCAATATCTCCCCCTAGAAGCTTTCTCCAGTGAGGGGCCTGTGCATGGTGCCACTAGCCTTTGAGGCACCGGGGGCTCCCCCTGTACCAGGAGCTGTTGTCCCATTGCCCCAGTGCTCTTCCGCAGCAACATGGCACCAGCACAAGGGAGTTGACAACTGCTGGTGCTCCAGTTTAGGTGGAGGCTCCTGTGCATCTAGCACCCACACAGGGCTACGGATTGTGACCGTGTCCCTTCTGTGGGGCCTTTCTGTGGATCCCCAAAGCAGAAAGCCATGCTGTCTCTGAGAGTGTGTCCTGTGGATATGGGAGCCAGCATAGAAGCAAGAACTCTCCCCACCCAGCAAGCTTTCTATTGAGGGCAGTGGAGAGACTGGACACTCATGAAGGAAGACAGAGCGATGGGGAAGGAAGGAGCGACATTCCTAATACAAACACGTCCAGGGGCTAGAATCGTTGCCTGGGGCCGGCGTCAACACCTGGCACATTTGGGCAGCTGCCAGGGCCCAAGCACCCTGTCACAGACCACTGCTGGCATCTGTGGTGGGTCCCACACTCCAGCATGGCAGCTGGATCTAGACTCCCCCCCTTTAAATCCCACAGTGCCCCTCACCTTGTGGGCATGGCTGGACCTGACTGACCAGCACTGGTCAGACTGCTACTGCTGAAGCCAGGAAAGCTTAGCAGGGCTTCCTGCAAGGAGCCTCCCTCCCACTTGCTGAGGATGCTGTTCCCAGGAGCCCCAGAGTTGGAGTCAGTTCTGTCACACAGAAGTGGCCATACGCAAGTTCTCTGGGTTGTACAAGTGGCTACCAATAGTTCTGCAGGAAAGTGAAAGTGGGTTCCCCTTGTGCCTGTAGGGCTGTGAAGAAGCTTGGGGGTACTTTGGCTGAAGCCTCAAGAGTGGCCAAATTTGCTTATTTAGCTTGGTGAAGCAGGCTGCATCTCCAGCTGCTTCACAGGACTCTTATGTCTCTGTTTGTACCAGTGAGGTTTGAATCCAGCCGTTCTGGACCTGGAGCCCTGCATATGGGCTACAAGTCCCTTTACCCACAGCTCGCTGGACCATGGCCCTGCTGCCTGGCTTGAGATGGCACCCAACTAGGAAACATGGATTATTATTATTATCTTTGTTTCATTGTAATACAAAGTCTGTGTTCCTATGCATGTTTAAACAGAAAAGGTCCTGCAACTCCCAGCATTCTCCAAGCAGAATGGCAGGCTGGGGAATGCTGGGAGTTGTAGGAACCCTTCCTTCCTTCCTTCGTCTAAACACACATAGACAAGATTGTGCCCTAATGAGGTTTTAGTATCACATTTTAAAATTCTGTAAAATATAAAGAATACCTTATATTAGGCCAAAATACCTTATTAAGGATGAAAGAAACCATCAGCTCAGAAAAGATGTTGTGGGACAAGATAAAAAAGGAGTTGCGAACTTTGCATAAATCAAAAACCAATACAAATTTTATGGGTCTGTGTGGCAGACCTGGGGACCATGGTGGGCCAGCAATGATCCCTGACCCTGTTATTTAGGTAAATCAATTAACACTCAGTAAAGCAGGTATTGAGGAATTCCCAGCACTTTTGATATCCTCTCCCATAATTGCTGGTCTCCTATTGTCGCTGGTGAAGGTTTTCTTTTTCTCTTTGATATTTTTGCATCCCCTGAAGAGAAGATTGCTTTAAAGCCTAGCACGTCTCCTAAGTCTATTCTTAGCTATCATCAGGCTGGAGTTTACTTCCTTTGATATTAATTATATTTCATCACCTTGCAGTATATTTATGCATACACAGTTAAATAAGCCAATAAATAAGCCAATAAATCTCTGGAACCACAAACTCCCAAGACAGTGGATCTTTTGACTACTTTTTGAGAAGGATTTAGTGCCAGTGTAAATCCCTGCAGTGTTGGCACCTCATTCCCTTGAAGAATTTCAAATCTCTTTATATTCTTTGTCAAAACTATTTAGTTTAAATCATTTCCTTTTGAACCTCCATCCTTTTATTCACAGCTTTGTAGTTCGTAATAATGGAAAGTTATTTTGCCCAGACATCCTTGCTTTCTGGCTGTCTCAAAAGGTCCCAAACCCCTTGTTTGACGCATTATTTCATCACCATGCTTTCTCATACTGGGGCAAGGCGGAGGCACATGCTCTTTGCTTTTGTTAGCAAAAAAATCTTGTTGAAATGAAGATATTGGAGGCTGAACCTGCTGGGACATTGTGCATAAAAAGACAGTGTTGTTTCTGATGTCTGAACTGAGGAACCCCTTTCCAGTCTTACAGAAGACTAGGGCTCCCTCCACCACCTCCATCAGAACATGGTTCAGAAATCTGCTGCCATAGAACAAAAGATGTGACCATCACTGGTAAATTTTGCACTGCAGGTGTTGGGCAAGACAGTCCCCATAGCCAAACCCCCCCCCCCAACAAAGAGATCCCAAAATTGCAGGTATCTGTGTTCATCCTCACTGATTCTAGCAACTTGGGTCTCCACCAGGAGCAGGCCTTTTATAAAGCTGTTGGCCCATTCAGGACCAAACCACTTCAAGATATTTACATTGTAAAAAAGAGCAATATATTCTTGTTGGGAAAAATAAATCCTACCTCCCAACTACTGTTAGGTGTGCAGCTAACCTCAGAGAGAGGAAGAATTTCTAACAGGAGTTACTGGCAGATTCCGACGGCACTCCTGCCCTTGAGAAGTATTAACACTGCGTGCCATGGCTCACCTATCGCACTATTACTGACTCCTAGAAGAAAAGGCCAGTGTTTGCTGATTTTCAGCATGGGTTGATTCACTTGGATATTTCCACTTATTTCAGAGGGATACTAAATGTCTGAATATCTCAGAAACACATATTGCTCTGATTTAAACAAAAATAACCTTTTCACTAACTGGTATAGGAGATTTGTCATTACAACAGCGGCCCAGTGAAAGGCATACCCTCATATTCGACTGCAGTGGTTTGACCTTCTATGACTACACTGGCATCTCTGTGCTTACTCAGGTATTTATGATCTTCCGTATGCATTTTACTGTAACTACCCGCTTATGTCTGCTCTCTGGGTGAAACTCACACTTATTCTGCTCCTGGGAAGAGTTCCAACAAAGAGACTGTGGGCCTAAAATATATCCTTTACTCAGCTTCACCCAGTTTACTTTTAGGATAAGTTTCTTGAAGTGTCTGTTCCTCCTTCCAGTATAGCAGTCTCACCTTTGATGTACATGAAATGGGCACAAAATGAGTGATTCCAGTGTTGGATATCAGTAGCACATTTATGTATCTTTTCTTGATGAAGGCAACACTAGCTATGGTTTCTTTGTGTGAAACAGCCTTCCTAGGTGAACACCTCCATTGGGACTTTGTCAGTTTCCCCATTCATGAAAAGGTTGCCAAGGTGGGCATGACAAAGCACTCATTTTCCAAAAAGCAAACTGGTGAGACTGGAGAAAAACCCCTTGTTCAAGAACCTTCGTACAAGGCAGGGGTGAAATTCCAAACCACAAAAATACTCTTAAATGTCAATAAATATGGCATTGGAGGGCAACATTTTGCTTTGCAGCATGCCAGCCTCCAGATAATAAACAGAATGTATGTTGCTTTTGAAATGTAAGAAACAAAAATCAGGAGAATCAGAGAACATGACATGCACCAAGGAAACTGTATGACGAATCCAGTTCTAGACTAATGTGCAGATCAAAACTCAATCATTCTTCAGATTTTGCACTTCTCCAAATTTTGGATGCAGATTTTAGCTCACAAAACCTACCAAAAGGCATGTGAAATGTATGCTTTAGGTTAAAATATATTTAGAAAGTCATACTTTGAGAGAAAATGCACTTAGAAATGCATCCTTTAAGCAAAACTACATGGAGAAATGTATGTTTAAATGCACATTCAAATATGAATTTCTTTGCATATGGATGAATGCCTACGGAATTGATATGGACTAGAAAAAGATTGATGTGTCCATTCATTCTAGAAAGTTTCTTCAGTTCTGGTTAGCTTTCCTGTTGACCAAATGCGCTTGGCTCCTTTCCTCACCTTCTTTAGCCCCTACACTTTCCCCACAAATATGCCCTATCCAAACCCTTTGGCAGCCTTCCTCTGTTGTGATTGGATGCTTAGCTATTGGGAGGATTACAGAGTAGTAAGAGAAACATTCAACTCTTGTGAGTCATACGTGCAAGAATTATTTCTTTGTAAGTGGATGAGAAAGAGAAAGGGGTCAAAGAGTCATACCAGATACAGGGACGGTGTTTATTCAGCATTTTTACATTACTGGGTGTAGTGGAAATAATTAGGTAAGAACTAGCACTTTGCCCACAAACCATGTTTGGCAGCTTCTCAGGGAAGAGTCAGTATTGCCTGAAGTATCAAAAAGGGCAGAGAAAAGATTCCTCCATCCTTGTTGCAAATGTTCAGTTAACCTGGACCAAAGTGACAAATGGTGGATCCTACTCTCCATGTCATCAAGAGAAGTAACAGTTCTTGAACATAACTCATACTGATAGCAGGACAGCTACACCTTTATTGGGGCAGTCAGAATGTTGCAATCCAGCAAGCCAGCTTTTAAATTCTCCAGAACTTTTATTTGGGCTGAACCCCAAGCAAAATTATCGGAGTGGAGAGTGTTCCTTATGTATGAACCTGGCTATTCCCAGCCCTTTGTGGAAGTTCACATGTCAGTGTGTCCCAGCCAGGTTATGCAGGGGTCTGTCTTGATCAAAGCAGGTTTCCTGCTGCAGAGGTTCTGGAGTGGCAGAGCGGGGCACAGTGATGTGATGCAGGGACAGGCTGAGGAATCCCCCTTGCTTTCTTTCTTTAGTTGTTCTACATCATGTGAGTTTGCATATCTACCTTTTTGCAATCTAGATCACACATGTCCTATAGCTGTAGCATCAGATGGTACCCAGAAACATGGAAAGAGGCTGCTTGGGATACAAATATTTCACCTTTAGAAAAGTCTTAGGCCTAGAGCTAGTAGATCATTTTACTACATCTTCCAATATTTGTCAGAAGAAAGCAAACTTCTTATATTACGCAAAGTGATATTGTTAACACAGGCTAGCAAGCAAAGTGGGCTGAACAAGCTGTTTTCATTAGCATGCATTCTCCATTCAAGGCTTTCATATATGTGAATCTCAAACTGTTTCTATCTGCCACTTAAACATGTGTTTATTAGGAGTAACTGTACATGTTGGCTGATTATGAATTATAATTTAAAAATGGGATAAATGTTACTGCCAATGCAGATTTCATAGCTGCATCACAATTCAAGCAGAAACTCACACGTGAAAACTTCCATAGCATTCAAGGGACATCCTGAAGGGCCATCGGATAGTTTGGATCCTCTGTTCTGAGGGTAGAGGTGAAAATCAGGGCTCTACTTCCTCTGCCCTTCATTGCCAGTGGAAAAGGAATGGTCCTGTCTGCTCATGAAGTGATAGAAGGGCATATTTTGGAAGGTGATGAGGGGAGGAGACAAGGGCAGCCTGGATATGAACTGTTCTGATGCTCCTCAAGCCTTCTTCCTTCCTTCCTTCCTCTCCAAAATCCTCCTGCTAGATAGCTCACCTAGCAGCGCTGCAGGGTGGGAGGACAGGAAGGCAAAGGTGGTCTCCATTGCTTCTCCTGCTTTGTATAAAATGACCACGAGTTTCTGAGTTTGGGGACTTATAGACAGTGCAGTGTAATCTGGCCCCAAGATGCTTTTTCCACATGATGTCACAAAATGTCTCTGTGCTTGACTTGCACTGCTTGTGCCATGTCTTAACGGTAAGCGAATTAAACGCACAGTCTAGTCCAGCCTTTTCCACTGAGGTTCCTTCCAAATATATTGTCTTTCAAATCCCATCAGCCCCAGCCAGCATGGCCAATGGTCAGGAATGCTGAGCACTGTATGCCATTCAAGTCCTTGCATGTTTTCCATTTGCATTATTGGTCAAAATAAGCACAAACAAGGTCAAGTTTTCTTCCAGAATTTAATTCCAGAACCATCCAGTGTTGGATTATGTGCAGAACAACTATTGTCTTCAAGCCCTGCCTGTGGACTTCCCCTGGAAGCTTCTGGCTAGCCCATGAGGGAAGCAGGAATACTAGCCCATTAGGAAGGACGCTCTTTTATTAGACTAAGATCCCCTGCCTCCCCTTAAAATGCTGTTTTTGCATCACCATTCCAGAGCACAAAACGATTGGGGTGATGTTTATATTATGGGACAGTTCCCTCTGGTGGCCACTGGCAATATAACACACAAACAAACAAATGCTTGCACACCAAAAATCTAAATATTCATTCTTGTTTTCTATGAATATTAGTGAGAGTATCATCTCCCTTGAAGGGGAGGGGGCAAATAACTTGCTAACTTGCATTTCTTCAGTAATGTAATCTTTTTTCCAAAAGCCACCAGGTGTCAAAAACTAGTTATTGAGAGAAGAGGATGCAGGAGTGATGCTTCATTTGAATTTGATACTTCACAATCTTTAGTAAAGAATTCTAATATTTGCACCCTTATAGATCTATGCAGAGTCTGAAAGAAGGAATATTGATATTCTGCTGGCAAATTGCAAAGGCAAGTGTCTATTTTCAGTGAGCATATGTTGAAAAAGTTACTCTCTAAACACAGTGCTCCCTTTTAACCTGCTACACTCATGTCCTATTACAGCTTCTTTGATGAAGTCATTGAAGCTCAGTGGAAAGCTAGAATCTGAGAACACTGTCTTCTTTGAGTCGGTTTCTTCAGCTGTGAGTGCTCTTCAGTTTAACAGGGTGAGTCTCAGTGCATGAGAGCAGAAGATAAGAGAAATGTCATGCTTTTCTGTCTAGTTCAAGTCCTCACACCACAGTAACTGATCAGATGCTTCAGGAAAATTCCCAGACAGGACAAGGTGGTTATGTACATATCTCATTGTTCATTTTCAGCTTCTAGTGGTCGAGAGGCATACTAAGTCTGAATACAAGGACTATATTCTGGCACTTGTCATTCATCAGCACTGGTATTACCATTGATATTATTAATCACCAGTACATTTCTGAAAAGCCTTTCACAGTTTTCTGCAGCAATGGCATTCATACATGAATTATGGGTTACATGGTTAAAATTCCTTTTGGTTTTCTTGTGTGCTCTTTTCACTGAATGTGCATTTCCCTGTGGAAAAATCATGGGGGTCCCTTTCAAAAAGTGAAGTGATGTTTTGACAGCTAGCTGTCAAACCTCCATGCTCCAATAAAAGGAGGTGGGCTGTACTTTTCCATCTTTATAAGAAATGGGAGTCTTGGGAAATGGTGGAAAAGTTGGAGGCACTGAAATCTGTACTGAAACATAGTGACCCCTTTCCTGAAGATCCCAGTGTCAAAATGAGACAACCCTTCCACTCATTTTCACAAGCAAAAGTCAATTGCACCTTTGTTTTAAATTGACAACTTGCTTTTGACAGCTGTCAAGACACAGCAAAGTACCAAAAAGCAAAACAAACCTCCTGTCAGGACTCTGTCTGGATTAATTTCCATGGTTGGTACTTGCTGTGAAAATTAGTCTGGTGTGGTTAATTTTCGCACTCATGGAATTGCACACACCTGCACCTCTGGAATGAAAGCTATTAACAATTACAGCTATTGAAAAAAGGATATTGTGAACATTTGGGGTACAAAAGAAAGATGGGTGGCATCCACTAACAGCCCCTGCAATGTTCTGATTAGGCACTTCAGAGGAGCTATCAGTGGTTCTCAGAACTGAGACTTTGAGAAGTGATCTCCCAGAAAAGGGTGGGGGAGCTGCAGTAAGCCATAAGGGCTCCAAGTTGCACCTGGGTGTAAGGGCAGGAAGCAAGTGGTAGTTGCCCCACCATGCTGTTTGGACAACACTGTGGCAGCTGACACTGACTGTGGCTTGGGCAAACTCAACAGGAGTAGCTTTTGCCAGGAGACTTGCTCACCATTCCCCCAACTCACCATGGGGATTGTCATCTGTGACTGGAAGGCAGACAAGCTTGTCCTTCACTTGGTTCACAGCACACACCATGGGTGAAGACAAAATAAGAAACCTAGGAAGTGGAAAGTTCAGATGGCATGTATGGTGGTCAGAGGGTTGGACTGAGGTCCTGGGAGATACAGGTTCTAGTTGCCCCTTTGCCATGAAGCTCATTGGGTGATTTTGGGCTAGTCACTCACTCTCAGCCTAATCTACCTCAGTGGGGTTTTGTTGTTATCATTAAGTGGAGCTATGTAAGCCACCCTGAGATCCTCACTAGAGGAAAAAAGCCAGGATATGAATACAGTTCAACACCATTGCCATCATGAAGGCTAGCTGCCCGTGGTGGGTTGTCGTGTGCTGCAAACCAGGTCATAGACAAACTTGTTTGGCTTCCAGGCCCGGTCCTGCTTGGACCTCTTCTGGGGATCCTTAAAGACACAATCCACAGTGGAGCCTTATAACCACTGACAGAGCCAGAACACCTCTGGGCTTGTGGGGAGCTAAATGCGATGATGGCCACCTGCTGTGGTAATGCACTTACAAACAGTGTGGCATGGTGGTTAGAGTGTTGGAGTGGATCATGGGAGATTCAGGTTCTAGTTGCCACTTAGTCATGGAGCTTCCTGGTGATTTGGGGCTAGTTGCTCAATCTCAACCTAACCTATGCCAAAGGGAGAGGATTGTGAGGATAAAATGGAGTGGAGGACTATGTAAGCTGTATTGGCTTCCTCCCCAGAGGAGAAATGGTGGGATACCAATTGCTTCCCACTGCCTTTCATTAATGTCTGGATCACCTGCCTAATGATAGGTCCATCCCTGTTCTCTCAGTCCCTCTAAGTTTCTGACTATACATATACCCCCAGTGGGTGCCCTCTAAATGTTTTGGACTACAGCGCCAGGATTGGCTGGGGCTGATGAGAGTTGTAATCCAAATATATCTGGAGGGCACTAGATTTCCTATAGAGTGTGGCTCAGGTGTATTTGAGTTGGAACTAATATTACTATATAAACTTTGTTTCCACATTCCTAGCTTTAGAAGGCACCAGGTTGTCTTGTAATGTAAACTCCTATCAGCCTCTTCACTTTAACTGTTATTAAACAAAATCTTCAGGCAGTGTATGGAGGGCTGGCTTTCCATTCTTTTATGCAAGACTCCAGAGGTGGCTGGGTTCCAAGACAGAATCCCCTCCAAGGCAGATTAAAGTTAGTCAATGATTTGTTGTTTTCTGTGTCTTCTCCCCTCCCTGCTTTTGCCATGAACAGGCACATTCTGGTAATTTAATTAGAAAAGTCTTCCTCTTCCTTTCCCACCAAAATTGCTTTAGTCTGATTGACTGAACAGAGGCAAACCAGTGGTGTTAATTTAGCTATTCTGCAGGATGAAGGAAATGCCATGATCTAGCTGAAAGAAATATATGTTCTCTTTGATTCTAGAGTGTTTTGTTTTATTTTTAACATGGTCATACTTACCTGTAGGTTATTATTAAAATAGGTATATACTTATGGTTTAATCTGGAAGATTTTTTCAATATCTGCATCACCATATGGTGCAAAGGAGTCTGGCACAGTTTGAATTCAACCACCATCTTGGCCTTAACAACTTGTTCCAAATGGCTTGCTCCAAAATATGGCACTTTGGGATTGTTTCAGAAACGGCCACTACCAGATGGGATGATGCCTTGAGTAAAATGCCCTCCAGGCACTTACATCACTCTCTACATCACCTTGATAACTGTCTCCCTATAAGTTTAGCAGGAAACGGCACTAACAGGTGGTGAGAAGGAGACTGGCACTGAAAATATGTTTGGGGTGAAATGGTTGCAGTAACTGCTGTGCCTTGATTTCCTCAGAATTTTCTGGTCTTCTTTTTAAAGCACTGAGTTATCAAAAAGGGGGCTGTTTTCATAGGTCTGCTATCAAAGTGAAGTGATTGGACTGTTGTTGACTTGTGTGATGATGTAATTGCTCTGTGACTGATATTCTTGAATGCATAGATAGATGGAAGGTGAAACATTTTTGTTAATTCAATTTTAGAATTTCTGCAAACTTAATGAGCACACGGAGGTCTGATGCCAGCTGAGAATATATATATATAGATATATATAGATATATATATGGAGCATCCAACCTACAGAAGGAACCATACCAAAGTATTTCTTCAGATCTTTAACGTGGGATTTAGTTGGTGATACTTTTTATGCCAAGTATATTTAAAAATAAAAAACACCAGCAACAGTGTTTACTGTCTGTTGTTCCTGAAAACCTTTCTCTTCCCCCATCCCTCCCTCCATTCCTTCCTCGCAGAATTACCACAAATGACAGTTTTTTTTCTTAATAACCTGCATTGTTTTTTGATTGTTACATATTTTTGTATGCATTTAGTTTTAAAATGAAAAAGAATAGAAAGCCATTTAGGAAATTACAGTATTGTATATTGTTTTAGCTCTGTCTTACTTTAACTTAATTGTATCATTTTGTTCACAAGAGAAATACAGCATTATTGAATTTTGTAGTGCAATTGATGTTATCTGGTCTAAGCTCTGTAATTTGTTACAAGCAACTAGGAACTGTGATATAAGATTTCCCTCCTGCTCCTGCCCCAAAATCGGGACATAAACAAGAGCAATAATTTCATGTCCCTTACCTGCTCTGTGTACTGCACTGTCTTACAAATCTCATGAGTTTAAAGAGTTGTTTCCAGTAATAACCAATGCCAAATCTTGCTGCCTTCACTGTGGAAAAAGGGTTAATTTTTTCTTGCTAACATTCCTAGGTCTGACTGGCACTGAAGTGAATGAAAACGGAGATAGTTCCACTGAATTAAGCAGAATGGTGCTAATTTATAATGGTTGGAAGGTCTTGTAACTGAAGCTTATTTTGTAACATTTTTGAAAGGGAAGGGGTCTGTATTTGCATGTTAATGCATTTGCTCAGGTTTTATTGGGCAGCTGCAGAACTAAGTGTTCAGACACATTTTGCATACATGGAGAGGTTTGCATGTAATGTGAAACCAATAATACAACATTGTGTGAATGCACTTTGGGCTTAGAATGCACTTTAGGCATGTCCTCCACACTTTCCTGCTCCACCACAGTTCTGAGGAGCACATCAGAAGCAAACTGTGGTGAATTAAAACTGTTTTTCTAACAAAGAACAAGATAAAACTAGTTTCCAGGCATGGCTTGTTCAGTTAAACCATAGTTGAAATTAGCCATAGTTTCTGGCTCAAACAAAACAACAAAGCATGATTTCTTTAAAACAGGTTAAACACTTCCATTCTCCTTCTCATGGCTATGTACCTATCTTTTTTTCTAAAGGTAATGGGTTGAAACTAAACTGCATATTGTTTTTGCCTCCCACAAAATAATTTTGGATATGTATGCTTTGTCCTGTTTTGATTTTCCCTGATTGACTGCAATGCCCTACCTGACTAATGAAAGAAAGAAGAAGCAACAAGAACAACAGTGATGCCAAAGAGACTGCAGGTGCCTTGCAATGTGTTATTATGAGGATATTTTTAAACCTATCCCAAATCATGAATTTCAGTCTAAAAATCTGTGGTGACAAATATGAGGCACAGCAAAGATGCATACAAAATGTATAATCTCTAGCTTGGAATTAGTCTAGTTCCAAGTCTGACTTGGGCAGCAAAATGAATGTTCATGATGTTGTATCTGGTGATAGTTTTGAGGTGGCAGAAGCACTTCTGCTTCCACAACACAAGGCACCTTATTTTTGCCACTCCTCCCATTTGCTACAGCCCTTTATGCCACATTGCATGTCATTTCGGATAGTCCCCGACACCTGGGGACAGATTTTTGGAGTGGGCAAAGGGCCCTGCCATTGATAACAGGCATTAGCAAAAACTGGATGTTCTGTCTTGCACAAGTAGAAGTGCTTTCTGTAGCACAATGTCACCAAGTAGGTACAGCTCAGTGTTGCTAGTGAACTTTAAGCACTGCAGTGTTAAGCACCCTTCCTGAACCCAAGACCAACTAAAAGCAGTGGAACTTTCTGCTGAGTAACCTGCATACATCTGGGTTAAAAGGAAGGCAAATTGGGTGCTGCTGGTAAGAAGAGAGACTGGCACCTTAACATTCTGCAAATGTGCATGGTTTTCACATCTGTTTTCACCAGTGCAGTATTGCAGCCTCTGCAGCAGGAAATTTAGCAATGGTGTGTACCCACAGATTTGGGTCTGTGACAAGCCTTTTAGCACTGATGTACCAGCAGTACAAATTTTAGGATCTGGTTTTTAGCTACTGATTTATTTGAGTGGTTTTTTGATGATAATTTTCTTTCCCTGCCATCACCAAGGGGAAAAAAACATGACAATTTTTGACTAGTAATGTTTTGTACATCTTCAGTTTGACGAAAGCATTACCAAAGCAGAGGAATTTCAAAGATTTCATTTTTTCAACATTACACTAAACCAACACAGAAAAAAACCCCATTGCTATTTAAAATGTTTCTTACCAGCATGGTAGAATTTATCCAGCTAATTGTGCACAAAAAGGATATTAAGAAATGTATTGCAGCCTTAGAATAACAACTATCTGATCACATAGTTACTTCCATTACTAATAAAGAGAGTGTTTCTTTGTTTGAAACATTGAATTGGAGCACCAAGAGATTCATGGAGAGTAAATTGCATTGCATCGATAGAAGATATATCAAAAGAACAATGTATGAAATTTTGGGTAGACAATTCAACTTTTTGCATGTTGGCATTGCTAGTTTGGGACACTTATCCATAGAAGTGATTATCTAGTTTCTGTCAAACTGATCCAAACCACTGCAGCCCGTCTCATTATCCACAATTGTACATCATGTTCCCAATCTGAAAGGACAGAGTAGTACATATCTGAATAAATCTTGCACATCACGTTTCATAATTTGCTTCACTGAGCATCATCTGCATTCAAAAGTAGTATGAATGAATGCAGAGCTGAACCATTCCTACACAGGGGTTGAGCCATTATTAGCAGCATAAATTAGCAGTACAAAAGGAGTATAAATTAACACAAATCTGAACCAATGCAACTTGTTTGCTAATGATTTCTGGTTGGTAGGGAGAAAAAAAAGTGCAGGATCTCAGCTGTCAGAATCTTTCTCATTTGTATGAAGGAAGGTGTGGAATAGGAGTGAATGGGCTCCAGACAAGGAACTCTGGTTTATCATTATGTGTGAATGCGGCCACTGCACATGGCTTAGCGTACATCATCACTGTCCTGAGGAGCACCAGCATGGCATAATGGCTAAAGTGTTAGACTGGGACCCTGGAGATCCCGGTTCTATTTTACACTTGTCATGAAGCTTTCTGAGTAACTTTGGTCCAGTCACCAATTCACAGTCAAAGCTACCTTACAGGGTTGTTGTGAAGATAAAATGTACAATAGATGTGCAGTGGACATTTGTCTGCAGCAGCTAATGTGCACTTTGTTTCTGGGCTGGATATATATGGCATCTCTATCAAACAGCTGCAGTCATCGTTCATGCAAAATTTGCAGCTCCAGAAGAATCATATTAGCAATTTCCTTACATAGTTAAAAATTAAGTGCAAACTTTGCTGTTATTCTCCATCGAAAAAGGAATGAAATGTGTCCATAGCAAGCTTTCTTCTCATTTGCTGCTTTTGAAAACAGCAGCAATCCCTAAAAACCATGAATGGATGGCAAGCCCAAGTTAAAGCTGTATGGTTCAGAAAGTTTTGTACATACAATGCCATGTTAGTTTGATCACTCTGCAATGTGCAGCCCTGCCATTTTCTGCTGCTAGTGCTTCCTGTGGTTGTGATTTGTTTATAGGCAAAGAATGCAGGAGATTTGTGCTCTGCCCAGAGAACTCCAAGCAATCACACTTAAATGTCTCCCGTTATGTTGGATTATGTTGGTTGTTTACAACAATGTCTGCAGAACATTGGGTTCATTTTCTAAATTGGCTGAACTTGAAAACAATAGGTTTGAGGGGGGTCGGTTGAATTATAGATGACTATAAGTTGGAAAAAGAAAAAGGAGAGCTGCTGGATCTCAATCTCTCACAGCCTTGTGCTTAAACACTTGAAGAGGGGAGGGCGTATTAATTGGAGTGGAAGTGAGGGGAGGGGGCCTGTGAAGGCAGGAAGGCCAGAATCAAGCTCCCGTCTCTGGAACCACCCCGCAGCCGTGGAGTGTAGGATAGTGGAGGCAGGGCCAGTGGTAACCCAGGACTGATTAGCCAGGATGCTGAGGTCACCTGCCCCCCACCCCATGCACAAGCTGCCCTGTTCCCTTTAAGCTCAGCTGCAATCCTCAAAGTAGCTGGGAGTATGCTTGAAAAATATGCAGGGCTTTCTGCAAAAGAGGACATATGGCTCCCCTGTGCTTTGGCCCCTATCCAATTACTGGCTTGTCATGGCTGCTTTGAAAATCAAGGACATGGGCTATTTAAACTGTGGATCTCTCAAGTTTCATTTTAGTTTGGCCTTAAGCTAACAGGCATCACCACTTCTGCTGGAAATGTGCTTTATTCATCACTGTTCCTGCTCTATAGTCTTTTAAAAGATGTATGAGCACTGATGGATGGATCTTACAGAGAGGGCTCATCCACACAGCATCTGGCCAGGAAGCAGCTGCAGCTCTCATCTGAAAGTGCAAGTATTTATTTTTGTGGTGGCAGTTGGTACTTATTCCTGTGTACCAGGCTGTTGTGCTACAACAGGGCCCAAGCTATTGGTAGGAGCCTGCAATTGATCTCACTGGCCTGATTTCTCAGAAGAAAATGGCTCACTCATGTTGTCTTTGGCCTCTGTAGAGGAGCCCATAAATCAGGCATGCAGACATCACAAGTTGCATCGTTGTCCTTCATGAGCTATATGAAATGGGACAGTCTTGGGTCCATGGTTTTGAGGCTTTTGGATAGGTGTCCTCAATGGGCTTTCTCCTTTAGAGAGTCTACCTGCTCAGCACTGTTGTCTCCAGCTGTAGCTCTTCTCTCTTGCCATTTGTTCGCTAGACTAGCAGAGAGTCAGTGAGCAAGCAGGCAGTGGCATCCAGCCTTCCTCCTCCTCTCCACCACTGCTGCCTGGGCCAGAGCAAGAAGCAGGTGAACAAGACGGCTACAGCAGTGAAGAAGAGGAGAAGCTCCAAGGAGCTCTTCTTGGAAGACCCTTGGCAGGTGGCTGGTTGTACATAATTTTGATTCTAACCCTGGAGTGAGATCGGCATGGACAACTCGTGCCTAATGAGCCAGAACAAGGACCATCAATTCCAACATAGCTAAAAGGCTACAAATTAAGTATGGAGGAATAATCAGCAACAACTCAATCCAGTGTTTGAAAACTTAGCGAAAATCATAAGCAGACATATGTATTATGGGAAACCTGTTAAGATAATTGTTATGTAAAATATATGTCCCTAATGTTCATCCTGTGCCTTTCCTTTTGAAGGTTATTTCCCCCTAAATCCTTGTCTTAAATGTTGCCAGGTCTGGCTTGAGTTGCCTTGTTATAATTTATTGGAGACTGAGATGATGCTGGATGGTATAAATCTACCATGTAAGAAGCCTTCTTTGATTCATGAAAATCTTAATGGGCTCAAAAGCATTTGTGGATATTGTGTGACATTTACCAGCTAGCAAAATACATTAATTAGTTGTTTTGAAAACCTCACATTCTCCAAGATGGAAATATCCCTCTATCTACCTTCCCACATCCTGAATGTATTTCTCATAAATAAATGCAGTTTCAGGCTTGATGCTAGATGGTGCTTTCATTCCATGGATAGATTTTAGCAAGGATCAGGCAATCTGCTCATTTATGCATGTTTAACAATGCATTTCATTTGTTCTGTCTTTGTTTTCCATTTGTAATTAGCATATGTAACAATAAATTTATATGGAAATAAATTGTAACATGGGATAACTTCCATGTTGAAGGAAGCATGGCTTGTGTTCTCTTTCATTACATGGTAGTAATTAAAAAAAGTCTGCGCTAAAGAGTCCACACTTTTTCAACCTAAGTAAATATTTTTATAGTGTCAATATGATGCAAACACATTGCATTTATTCTTTTAAAAGTGAGGGCAGGATACAGAATCTTGAAACAGGCTGGAAATATTTGGATGAGATGAACTGACCATGTCTGCTAAAATCCATCTGAATCAAGTGTGCAAGATCTAATTCATGCAGGTCTGTACCAGGTTTCCTTGGTAACTAGGGCTGCCCTATTGAATCATAGAATAGTTGAGTTGGATATTTCTATGGAGGACTTCAAAGAAATGAATAGAAAAACAGGGAATTCCCCATAACCATTAGAAATGTCTACAATGCCTAGGATCTAAATGAATGTACTTTCTATGAATTTGAAATGCATTTAAGTTGAATAAGAACAATTTTTTTTACGTAGAATATCTCACCCATTTTCAGTGCTCTAATGGTAGATTTTGGGGTTCAGGAGTTCAGCATGACAACCGTGCTCCATTAAAGTGTCCTGCCATGCTCATAATAGCTGGACTGTGTAAGTTTGTGCATGCGTGTGCATGAGCACATATTTAATAATGTTGCCCGAAGGTAACAATCCTGTACAAATTATCCTGAGTTGGGAGGAACTTTGGGTGGGTCCTGCTGACCAGATCAAGTCCTTTCTACCATGGCCACCTTGAATGGTTGGAACATCAGTTGCCAAGCATGATTCATGTTGTTTTTAAAATACATTGTCCTGTTCTGGAAACATTTTCCCATTCTTTCAATCAGGGTAGATTAGGGCCCTCCAGAAAGTCTCACACTACAACTCCTATAGCTTCCCACCATTGGCTATGCAGACTCGGACTCATGGGAGTTGCAGTCATTAATGTGAGTCCAGTGATCTAACCACTATGCCCTGTGACTAGCTAGCCATTCACACAGAAGGGAAACCAGAGCAGGGGCACATGCTAGGCAGGTAGCCCCATGGCCAACGTTGTTTATGTGAATTACATTAGCACCAGAGAGCAACTAAAGGAAAAACAAACTAAAACCAAAACACCCCTTGAAGGTTCATGAGTGCAAATGACCTGAAATACTCAGTGGCGCTGCAAGCTCCCTCATCTTGTTGGCGGAGATGCATTGAATGATGCCCGGCACTTTCGGGAGCTTTGGGGGAACCACTTTGGGGTGAGAGAAGCATTGCAGAGCTGGTGAAGCCATCTATTCTGAACTGGGTGGCTTTTGTAGGTTCAAAAGACAGTCCCTTAACATTAACATAGATTTTTATGTGCAAATTAGCAGCTAAATTCATTATGAAAACCCATTTACCAAAGGGCTGACACCAGACAAAGCCTGAGGCAGCTATGGGAACTCTGGGACGTAACATCTGTTCAATAAAATTTAACTCAGCCATTCCATGCATTTGTCTGCTCATTGCTGCTTTATAGTTTCTCAAAACAGTGACTTTTCTCCTCAGGACATACAAGTTCTGACACAGACCTACAAAGGCCAAATGTCTCTTTCAGTTCGCTGAGGCACAGGCAATAAGACTAGGACAGACAACAAACACACTGTTTTGACATTTGCAGAAAAAAACCACTTGCCCGTGTGGTTCTTCTCCCCCTCCCCCACAGAGAGAGAGAGAGAGAGAGAGAGAGAGAGAGAGTCAGTGTGTTTTTCTTTCCTCCTCCTCCTCCTCCATTCCCCCACCCTCCAACCCCCTGGGCTGAATTGTGCTGATTCTTCTGTAGGTCTTCAATCTACAGGATGTCTCTAAATGTTTTATGTATGCCAGTTAGCAGTTTAGCTGATGTGTAAATGGCCTCTGTTACTAATTGGGGATGCTTCCCATGGCATTTCAGAAACTGAGTCAGAAAGCAGCATATGCTGCTATTGCCCATGATCGATCAGCCACATCGCCAGGATCCATAGGATGAAATTTCCATTAGTTTAAAGCTCCAAATTATACCGGCTGCCTCAATAAAAAGAAGGGGGAAATGGAAGCAGCAGCATCTTTTCTGCATATCTTGAGGCTCTTCTGCCACCATTGCTGCAAGGGCTCTTTCTGTTGCTGTCTGCAAGATAGCAATTCTTTATGGAACTTTAATGTTTACCACTTTGCTGCAAAAAGCATCAGGCTGGAAGCTGGTAAAAAACTATGCTCCGCTCACTCCACTTTAGTGCAGGGGCCAGCAATGCAGGTTTCCCAGAAGGAAATCCAGGTGCCCTCCAGATGCTTTGGACTACAGCATCCATAGGCCCCATACAGAATGGTCAATGACCAGCGTTTATGGGAAGTGTAGTCCAAAACATTTTGAAGGTACCAGGTTGCCTATCTTGAGTGTAGAGAAAATAGTGGGATAGCTGGACCAATGCCATAGCTTGCTAAGAGGCATGTTCCTATTTCCCTAGTTTATTTAAACATTACAATGGTCCAAAGAAGCATTTCCTATACTCTTTTTGCTATGATGAACATTTCACACAAGCTCATCTGCTGAAGGAACTCCTCTTCAAACTGACCACCAAATATCATTCTGGAGAGGATTCTGGGCAGTGCCGTGGGGTCTCCACTCAGTTTTGGTGGCCATTAATAATCAAGTTGAAGGGCTGGGCTGTCTAGTCTCACCGCTTCAGGACTGAATTCCATATGAGGGCTGGCATCCAGTGGTGGCCAGGGTAGAAGGCACAAGAGCTGGGGCCAAAACAACCAAGATATGAACATATTGCTGCTGAAAGCTCTTGCCACATGTAATTAAGCCTCAGGAGGGATATTTCAACTCCTCAGAAAGGGAAAAAACTGCGCAAAAGCCAGGAAGCATCAAACAACCAGTGACTGAGGGAACGGGGAAAAGCTATCTCATCATAGTAAGCAGCCTCCATGGGAGACCACCTATCATGGGTTCCATGACAGAAGAAAAGCAGGATATAAATGTACTAAGTAAACAGTGCCTTCTTATGGCTGCTGGATGCTGTCTGAATGGCCATAGGGTTTTTGGGAGCCATTTATGAGGTCAGAGAAGTGCTTCAACCTCATAGCTGGGTCTCTGAGTTCAGAGCTATGTACATCCTGCCCCTTGCAGCAAGCATAGGAAGAAGTGTGCTGGCTGCATCACCAAGGACACAATCTTGGAGACAGCTCTTTGTGGGCATTTCAGGTGGAAGGGAAGAAAAGAGAGGTGTTCCGGCAGCATATGCAGCATCCTGGTGGTGCCTCAGCTGTCTTTCCTTGCATTTTGGATCGAAACAGCTAGATGGCCAAAATCAGCCAGCTAAGTACTTTGCAGGGCAGATGACCTTTGCTTCTGTGCTGTTTCTGCCCTTCATAATCCCCCAAGTTTAGAGGTTTATGGGAATCTGGACTGACTTGCTCTCAAAGTGAATTAAATAATGCTGAGGCACATGTCTGTGACTGAGGAACCCCTCGGAAACATCTGAGGGATCATGAAATGCAGTTTGAAAAATTAAGGGGATTATTTCCCATTCCTGCATTGGTCCATTTCTCATTTGTCAAACATTCGGTTTTCATTTTATCTGACTCTTTCATCTCCTGCGTTTTCTTTGAAGCCAAAGTGAATGATTTCTTTTTGTTTTGTTTTGCCAATTTCCCACTTGGGTTCAACTGCACCATCAGTGATGCCAATAAATCCCCAGGGACTGAGTAGGTTAGCTAATTTGTGTTCTCTCTCCTGTCTGATTGGCTTTGTGGAATATAAAACATAAAAGATCATAGATAAACAGTTTTGTGTTCCTAGTTGGCAGGACAAGGGGATTTTCAACCTCCATCTAACCTCCTGCCAATTATGCAGATTTCAGGTTTTCATCACACTGCAAAAATGGCTTCAGCATCTGCATTTGGGCCTGTTCAACAATTGCTCAATTACTATTATGTTTATATTCCGCCCATTCCTAGTACTGGGACTCAGCATATTTTCTACCACAGGTAAATATTTTGGATAGATCTCTAAGGACAGCTCCTGCATTTTGATCAGCATTAAGTCCCAAATATCTAAGTTTATATTCATAGCAAAAAACTGGATAGTTGCACCTGGGCATAATATCAATTCTGCAGGCAGGTAGTATATATGAAATGGGGAGAAAGGGAGACTACTGGTCACATACAATTTTGCTTCCAAAATTAGAACTTTCCATAAATTTATTCCATGCCAGTCTTAAACCTAGTCATAAGACATAAGAGCAGCTGTGTTGGACTAGAAGAAGCCCCAGCTAATCCAGCAGTTTGTGCCCCAAATGGCCAACCAGAGGTTTCTGGGAAACTCACAAGAGGACCCCTCCCACTCATTTTCTCCAGCAAACTGGTATTCAGATGTATGCTGCCCCTGATCCTAGAGGTCCTCTATAGACATAATGGCAAATAGCCATTGATAGCCATAAAGCAGTCTGAACTGGTGGCTATCACTATATCTCATGGCAGAGGAGTCCAATAGTTTACCTATGCCTGTGTGTCCCTACTAGATTGTATGCCAGGTGCAGACCCCATTTTAAAAAGATACTTTCTAACATTTGGCCTACAGGGATTTGTTCATGTTGTCAGGAAGATGTCTATGGAATCTAGAAAGATTTATATTCTGACTGCTTCATATCTTAGATGCCAAGTTCAGGTGTGTGTGTGAGAGAGAGAGAGACAGAGAGAGAATGAGAGAGAGAGCATGCTCAGATGAAGACAATGGCTATACTATTTAGGGCAGGTGATAATTTAAGAATGTCTGGTTTGCATCTTTGGGATTTTTTTCATTAAGAAGCAGGATAAAATAATGAAAGAATAATCAGGTGGTCCTGAAAAAGCTGGTAAAGTAATACTAGTGTGGGTCTTATTACTCGAGGAAGGTCAAAAAGAAGGGAGGTGAGCAATTTGGCAGCCAATCAGACAGCGGAACAATTGTAACCTGCCTCTCAGAAAGTATGCGGGGATCTTATGCGGGGAGCTTCCACACAATGGAGAAAGTAAGACAATATTC